TTTTTTAAAAAATTTAAAAATGTTTACTAGCAATAATAAAACTACTCAAAAACTGAGTATGAGGAGGATTTCAGACCTTGTGTGGTAGATAGCCAACAAATTGGTAAATCTATCACAATTGGGGTATTCACAACGGTGTCGTAAGTGTCATATTGTTGTATGTCGTAAACTTTAAACGCCTAAAAGTATATTACGGGGGTTCGCAAAATACCATCAAAGTCATATTATGAATTTTCGTAGTGTTAAAAAATAGTTGGTTGTGGATTAAGGTTCTCTGAGCGTTTAAAGTTTACGACAAACAACAATACGAAACTTATGGCACCGTTGTGAATCCCTCAAATGTAGCAAAAGTCATAGCACTGGTGCGACTACTACTGAAGTCAGAAGAGAACTTGCGTCAATTTTTTCCTAAAAACAAATAGTGATACAAAGCTCAACAACACTGTTGAAATAGAGAAATTCTTATAATTTAATATAGCACGTGTTTTGTACATGAATATATTTGCACTTGCATATTACTTATTTAGAATAGTGTGTTCGACGCCAGGTATGCGACATTTTTATACTAACATATGTTTACTTGTAATTAGGTTATATGGTTACGTGTAGGGCATTACAGTTTTGAAATATTTTGGGTTCTTTTAATATTCGCACTTAATCCAGTTCATTCAACGAAAATGCTTCTCTTAAGCATTGTTCTTCGCCAACAATAAAAATTAATTCTTTAAATTTTTTAAATGCGAATATTATGTGAGTAATGCTCCGAAACAAAAACAATTGATTCGTTTGTTTTTACGTACTGGTATGTACTCGTATACATATGTATATATGTGTATGTATGTTAGTACAAATAATGTCAATAAAGAAGATGTACATATGTAGGTAAAATTTTTAAATGTGAAGCTCCCGCCTACGAAAAAATAAGAAATGCTGCTGATGTCACCTTCATACAAAAGTTATATGAAGAAGGTTAATCGTCATCAAAGAATTAATTTAATTAGTTACGGTATACATATGTACATATGTACGTATGTCAGCATCAGCACAAAAAGCACAATTATTATTATTACAAACAGGGAGTTGAAAACAAAAGAAAAACTAAGTGCTGTTCGGTCTGACCTGGATAAGCAATGTGTTTCCAAGTAGGGGCGCACAGTGAAAATAAACTTTCCTTCTAAGAAAATCTAATACCTGGAGAACGAGATAGGTATAGAAATAAATGTAGATACCGTTACTTCAATAGAAGTTATGTTTTCTTTCGTTTTTTGACCTGAGTGAACAGTATGCGTTCACCTTTTTAAAAAGTTTGAAACATATATTTTCGCTGTTCATGTGTCAAGCAATCCATTTTGCATGCTCGATGGAGCCTAAAATATATTTTAAATTATTCTTAAGAACATCATTGCCGGTGTGTTTTTAAGCTGAAAAAGAGAAGAATAGTAATTTTGTAGGGCGCTTTTATGAATAAGGTAATTTTAGTTTAATATTAACAATACCATGGTTGATACTTTCAAAAATAATATGGCGATATTATTTGTTTACATTGAACAAATTTCTTGTTGCTGATTTTTTCGTTTGAATACGTTTATTTTCTTCATTTCAGATATAAGCAAATCTCAAACTGCGATATTTTAATATCTGCTGAAGCTTATTCACTCAAAATTGACATTTACAATGATTTTGAGACGAAAAATAGGAATATTATAAATTTTTACAAAATGGTCGTAGCCACGCCCACTTATGATTACATATGTATGGCTTGCTAACCGCTCCACCAATTTCTCCCAAACTTGACATATTATTGGCCCTGGTACAACACACCATATGGCTGAAAATTTTTAAAATCGGACAATAACCATATGCCATACAACGGTAATTTAGAGAAATACGAAATCTTCGATAAATCAGTAAATACTAAAGCTAATTTAATCAAAATTAGTGCCTGCAATAATTGTTTAGCTAGCAATACGTGTATGATACAATTTTGGAGAATGGGCGTAGCACCTCCCAATCTGCACCAAACTCGGTAAGATTATTGTGCTTGGCACATAGAAAGAAATCGTTGAAAGTTATAGAAATCGGACTAAAATTACGGCCACTTTTCATATAACGGTAAATTTTAGAAATGCTTTAAACTTCAATGTTTCAAAATTTAAGGACGCTAATTTACTCAAAATTGATACTAACAACAACACCTTGAAAAGAAATAACATTATTTGGAATTTCGGAAAATACGCCTGATACAGCCCACATATGACTATAATTTGTATATTTTTTAATTTTTATTTATTAAAACTGAAATAATTGATGTATTTAATATTGGTGCTTTGTTTGGTTTTCAGTAAATATGAAAAAAAACTAATCTATGAAGTTCAGAATGGCAGCGCCTTCAACGAAAAAGTTAACCAGAAAAACAGCGAAAAACTTCGATTCACAACTTCGGTTCTGAGAACACCCGCACTATATCGCCGCCGAAGCCAAGTGGCCAGAGGTTTGCAATTCCACCAGGTAGGACCTAGGTTCAAATCATTGTCTAACCAAAGGTTACAAACTAGTCGGGATCACCTCTCCCAAACAAGGTTAGGAGAAGTAATCTTGAGGGGAAAAAAAGAAATTTCTGTTTACACGTGCCCTTGAAAACGGGTAATATTAATACATGCACTTTCTTTTCAATAGCTACATATGTACATATAAAAGTATTTTACCGAGTTAAATGTATGGAATTCTTCGAGTTGCAAGAATGCTGTCACTCAAATTCAATAGGCATACAACCACGTACATACACATACATATGTATGAAGTATTTATTTATGAATGTTTGTAGCATATATAATTCCATTAACACAAAAGTGGGTGAGGTCATATAGATCAATGCAGGGAAACAAATAATTCTATTAATTTTGCGAACGTAATAGAACAAAAAATCTCTCAAACAATGTTCTAGTCAATGTTCGAGCTGTTGACCAAGCAGTGCGATTGGGGCGAATGTCTGGCAATTAAAAAAAATATATTTGAAATGTATATAATCGAACGTCTGCCTTTTGACTAGTGTTTAGGCAATCGAAGATTTCAAAATTTTAAAATTAAAGATAATTGACGCGAGATATGTATGTACATATATACTACATATGTACATATATACATTTGTAGCCGCTGTGGTGTAGTGGTTAGCAGTGCGTGCTACCACTCTGCAGGGCCTGGGTTCAAGCCCTGGTCAAAGCAACATCGCATCTTGAGAAACCTCCTTAAAATATTTATAAGGAAATCTTCTTCGAAATCATGGCCGCTTTCAGCAAGAAATGCTATGGAATTAAGTGATGTGGTCATTTCAAGCTATAAAAGGGGAACGGAACTAACAGGACAACGACTGCCCTTACATGCCGACGCTAAGGTGGTTTTGAAATAAATAGTTTTTTATCATCTCTAACTTAACCGTATTTATTGATTTACGGATATTCATAAATATTTCTATTCATAAAAATCATAAAGCCAAACTAAACTTTAAACGTTTGTTAATTAATTAAATCTTTCGAAGATTTTCAAGACGCAAGTTATCTACGAAACACATAGCACTGATACTATAAGAAATAAAATTCTTAGACTATAAGCAATAAGTGAGCGGATTTTTTAAAATATCTTAGTTTTCATGCTTCTACTATATAAAAAGTGGTCGTGATTGGTTTCTATTAGCTTATTCTCTAAGTTTTATTGAGATACCTAAATTTTTACTCCAGTTATTAATTAATTCCGCACCTCCATACAAAATTTCCCACTGTGCGGCCCCTACGTTCGGAGAAAAAAATCGGAATTCACTTGGAACCGAAGCAATTCCCTAGCAAAAGCTTAAGGAACGAGCTCTAATTTACTAAGTTTAGGGTGTTAAGAAGTAGGATCAGGTGGGTAAGTTCTAGAATAGGGTATTTACTTGAGTTCAATGCGTTTTTGGAAAAAAATTGTCTGACAAAAAATACGACTCTTGTAAAAAAGAGTCTGCCTGCCAAGGGGCGACCGCTATTAGAAACAACTCTTTCTTTCATTTTATTTTTATATTATATTATTTTTATATTAGACGGAAACTGGGCTCGATCCTAGGCCCTGTGGAATGGTGATGCGCACTTCTAACCAAAATACTTTTTGGAAAAAATCCTTGCAAAAATACTTTACATTTAGGGGTGTGCAACGAACTTTTGGTTTCTAGTACGGTCCAATATACATACATCTACTACGCTTATACATAAACAATTAAAAATTTTTTTAACAGCAGAGTTGAGAAACATAAATATAGTGGCCCACAAAATAATAGAAGTGCGATATTTTGATCAGTTTTGGCTATTTTTCTTTTGTTTATTTAATATTCATTATTTTTTATAAAAGTCAAGCTGGATACACAACACCCAACAAATTTTCATCAATATTTCAAACTTTTCAATCAGAACCTTTAGAAAAAATGTTGGTATGCTAAAAAATCCAGTTGATTTTTGGCAATTTTTTTTCGCTGGCACTGTCCCCATATAAAAGAAAATTGTCGAACTTACTTTGTATGGAAAAAACGTGAAACACCCTTAACCAAAAATAATTCTCAAAAAACTTGAAACTTGCACTTCTAGAATTAAAGGGGCTACAAAACTGCATTCCAACATTTTTTCTAAAGATTTTGATTAAAAAGTTTGAGATTTTGGTAAAAATTTGCAGAATTTTTATAATTCTTGTACAAACTTTGAAAGGTAAATGTATATGGTTATTGTTGATGTACTAGCACTGGACAGCAGGAATAATTTTTATTTAATAGCACTCGCTATTAAACCCAATTGTTTTGAGAGTGAGTAAAAGAGTAAGTAGCTTACTGAATATTCAGAGGTATTGCGCCGAGAGAAAATTGAGCGAATGTGAGTAACGGATGAAAATCGTGGTCGCAAGCGAAGATCAAGAACAGCAGCCAAAATTAGCAGGTGATAAATAGAGAATACAATTCAATGAGAGAGTTTAATGATGCGTATATTTTATGTGAGAAAATAATCGTGAGTATACGCCTTGTTGGATGTGATCGCGACTAATAATGATTTCCCAATTAGTATGTGACTAGTGCTCGTGGAATGAAAACAAAACTTCTACCAACAATAAAAGGCAAATTTATTGATTCGAAATCAAAAATAATACGTAAAGTGTTCGCTTCTTGTTATTGTACATTAAAGTGAAATAAATAATTCCAAATGACCATCGACGAAAAAGAATGCGCTGAGGTGATAATCAAAAATGACCCCATACTTAAAGGCATTGAATTAAAAAACATCGGCTTTCTTGAGCCACAACCAGTGATCGTCAACTGTCCCGCCTGTGAAGCTGAAGCGCTAAGCATTGTGCATCTGGAAGCGGTTACATGTCTGCAACGATTTCTAAATGCTACAAAGTTGTGGTAAGCAAAAGCGCGAGAAATTTCGATAATGGAAATGAATTAAGTACAAAAAGAGCTAAGTGAAATGTGTTGCCAGATAAAGTATTTAAAAAAACGTATACATACATATCGCTAATTTTCTGCAAGACATCCAAATCCAATTTGTTTTAGTTAAGTATGCAGAAAGGGCCACAACCTCTACTTTTGTGTTGTGTAAAAATTTCATAGCTGTATCGAATAGCTCCGTGGAAGAAAATGTGTCTTAATTTTACCTTTTTTTGATGTTTTGAGTTTTTGATTTTTTGGACTACGACACTATTGCAGAGAAGAAACGATATACATATATGTACGAATAACTATTTATTAGCTTACGAAGGTACCCTGACGGGAAAAAATAACTCAGTTTCAAAAATTGGCATATCGACCCATTTCTGCGTTAATCACGTACATTTCTGTATTTTTTGGGGGAAACTAAACAGTTTAAGCGTGACACTATTTATACTTATAATAAAATTGTAACATATGAAAATAAAAGTGGAACCAGAAATCTATACATGCATATAATAAAATTGTAACAGGCCGATGTCTGCCCATTGTTGATATTAAAGAAAAATAAATAGGGGAGGTCGTTATTAGAGCAAGAGAAGCCAAATAAACAATTTTTAAAATTTCTGTCTGTCTGTGTACGCGCGTCACACGAAAACTAATGCATGGAATTGAATGCAGTTTTCTTTCACCCATCTATTGCCAGGGGTCTAACTTAAGAGCGAAATACACCACACAAGCGGTTTGACAAACCAAGCGAAATTTCCCTTTGCTTCAAGCCATTTGTGCTGTGTATGGGGGTGTTTGAAGGTTTGACAAACCGCTTGAGGGAAATTTGAGCAAAAATCAAAATTTTTTGATTTTCTGGCCGCCATGTTGATGTTTGATCAAACCGCTTGCGTTGTGTATAGCAAAATCGCCTCATTCGCAACGAAATTTTCACCGAGTAAGGACGTAAGAGAGGAAAATGAAAGAAAACCATAATATTTAGCATTGCGAACTCGAAGAAAACTAAAATTCTTTGCTTGAACGAGTCATGTTTGCATGGTGTATGGCGAAATGGGAAAAGTAGGTTTGAAGAATGTTTGACAAGCCGCTTGTGTGGTGTATTTCGCTCTTTAGAATATAGAAAAAAAATAGACAGCTGCCACCTGTTAGAAAATTGCAGTTTAAGTAAATTTATAAGATAAAGTAAATTTTGCAATATGGCAGTAAAAATAAATAGGTTTAAGAGGCTTACAGCCGAAAATATTTTTGTTGAGGATTGAAACCTGTTAAATTTTAATTTGATTTAATTGATAAGAAAAATTGAGCATTGCAATATGCGTATCAAACTGAAGTGTTTTAAGAAAGTTTACTGCCGAAAATATTTTCAATTAAGGTTGCCACCTCTTTGAAAAATTGTATTCTATTAAATTGATAAAATATTTGAAATATTACAATACGGCAAACAGCACAAAAATACTTTTACGCGGGGAATTTGCTAGTGTTAAAAAAAAATCGTTTATTGTATCCTAGTGAAAAAATTAGCGCTCTTTCATACACACCTAAACTGGCTCCACAGCAGATACAAGGTTAACGCAGAAACGGGATGATATGTGAAAATTAGTTACTAGTCAACTAATTTCGCATCAATTTAAAACAAGTGCAGCAGTTCTGATTCCATATTCAATTTTGCCTTTCTTGTTCATCAACTTCGTTTCATTTAAGTTGTTGAACTTGAACTACAAGTAAACTAATTACAAATGTTAAATAAATATATATAAATTATTACTTAAAAAAAATTTTTTTTTGCTAGATACTCATTGTAAACTCCCACTTTTACTTCCAGCAAAAATTGGCAGCATCGCAACGACATCAACCACTATTGCAGTAAATGTGGCTGTTATATTGGCCGCTATGTGCCGATAAATTGCAGCGAACGTTGTATATCGCGCAGTGCCCGCAAGATGGCGGCCAATGACAGTATGTCACTAAAGACACGTCCAAAGGATTGTGCTGAGAAAGTCCAGAAGTCACGTGAGAAATTTAAAGCGAAACGTGCCGCGAAAAAAGCAGAGAGAGAGGCAGCCGAATCGCCGATGACAACAGTGGTTCGTGAAGGAAAGAAATAACGAAGAAATAGTTAATGTGGAGAGAAATGTAGAAAAATTCGAAAATATTGAATGAACTAAATTCATTAACATACTACATTATTTTAGTTAAGGGTAATAAAAATACATAATGAACAACAGTTTGGTGTCAATATATTAAAGCCAAAAAAGGGATTGAGAGCGCCAGATTTTAATGTAATTATCCGAAATATACTGATATTGATTCACTCACCAATAAAAATGATCAAAATAATAAAAAAAAAAAACAATTACTTAATCGTTACAATTATGTGACAGTTAAAACTCATTAAGTAAACTTTTTGGAGAAACCCCGTTTTTTGCTTAAAGCTTACTATTTTTTATGGACCCTTTAAAACAAGACGATAACGGGGGCATAAATTGCCGCAGGCAGCTTTTATGTAACTGAAAATATCATTATCTACAAATTATAACAAAAATATCGGCAGATAAAATTCATTTCTGTATTAAATAAGTTTCTGTTGGCATCGTAATTGGCTTTTATATTGTAGTTAGCTAAAAAATATATAAACGTATAATTACTGATGCCAAGAATTGGTGGCCGATATACATACAGAGCTCGTAAACATTATAGCCGCAACACTCTTTGAGAAGTTTTAACATATTATTTTTGTTGTTATTTAATTTTGGTATTTTTGTTATGAAAATATATGTAGTTATAAAAGTAAACAAGTTTCGAATGGCTAAAAATTTCCGATTTTTTTTTTTTATCGAAGATGTTACGGTTTTCTTCCATATAAAAATAAATTGTGTATATTCGTTATATGGAAGCAAATGGGACAAAAAAAATCTACATATTTTAACTTATAATCAGTCGTTACTAAGAAATCAATGTTAGACCAGGAATATGCCGACGTCGAACTCGGGCTGTAAATCTAAATGGTTCGCATGAGGACATGCTCCTCATATTTGCATCAAAAATATTTTCTGTAGACCAAATAAATAAATAAATAAATAAATAAATAAAAAGCAGACCTCATGAAATTATGCCATGCCGGACAAATACCAGAGAAATGGTATATGATACAAAAACTTACCGTCAACAAATATGCTCCCGAACTCTGCCGAAGCCGTGCGACATAAACAAAAAAATTTCAAAACGCACAAAGAAGTCAATATGAGCAAATCCCAGGAGTTGTTTTTTTTTGCAGTGCCACTCCTTTCTCTCGGCAAAAAAAACGCCAAAGCATTATTCTTGCGTTTATTTCAGTCAATGGCATTCCAGAAATAAGTATAGTAAAAAGTAAATCAAGTAATTGGACAATATCAGCCTCAAAAATATTATTTAGGCGAAAAAGTACCGAAATAACTCAGTTTTTCGTTGTCAGCATATCTGTCGCAGCTATTTTGTAATTTTCGAAATTTTATGATATTCTTAAATTTTAATAATTTTATGACTATGATTTGAGAAACTAAAATTCCATTTTATAAATTTTTATTGGCAAACTCGAAATTCATTCTGAAATTGTTATATTGTACATTAAGAGAATAATATATATATACAAACAGAATACTGTGTAAAAGTCTCCCACGCAAATATTTAATTACTTTTAAATAATATGACTTTTAAGTTAAGGCGTGCGAGTAAACATTTTAGATGACTGCGAATGGTGCTATACTGGGGCGTACACGTTACATACGCAACTACGTCGTATAGGTACGGTGACCATATTAACCAACGTAAAATAAAGGACATTTTTTTTCAAAATGATTTGTGAATACGTACATACAACTTGTACGATAAAAGTACCTTATCCATATCATAATCTAAATCAAATATTTACCAGTTAATTATATTATTTAATTGTACAAGTTCCCCTGCTGTAGCGAAAAATGAAGCCAAATCCTTTTCAAGGACTTCGTCATCCTTTGCTGCGAAAATGCGTTTTCCATAATTTATACTGCGCGACGAAGTCAGCACACGGTGGTTCAAAATTGGAATTTAATGTTCATAATTCACCGGAGCCTTCATTTTTCAACCAATTTTTACTAAAAACCAAAATAATAATATTTATTTTGGTTAATATTTTTTATAACATTTCAGAATTTTTTTGTGTAATTTTTTCGTTTTGGGAGAACCATACAATTGTTTTCAACTAGTTTTTGTTATGTGACATTTATTGCTACTTTTTCTGAATTTTGCACTAAAAAATTTAATATAATCAAATAAAATGTCATACATCCGGCTCAACTGGTCTCTTGCAAATATTGTAATCTTTCATAAAAAAAAATAAAACTTAATCAAATTACGAACACTAAATGCCAGTTTTGAAGCACTGTGCAGCAGGGGGTTTATTGTTTTCTTAAAGTGGAACTGGAAACTCAGCGCGCAACACGATCCTCCTTTATAGATTGTATAAATATTACCGAATAAATATAAACCCTTAAGTGGGGGCGAAACAAACTGGCGAAGGTTTTCATTATATTTTGTAAGGGACATTTTTATTTTTCATATTCTGTGTTTAAAAATGTATTTCTTTTATTTATTTATGAAGAATGCAGAGCTGATTTAAAAAACAGTTTAAGAAATAAAGGACCTGTCCTTTATTTTGAAAAAAATTATAAAGGACAGGGGGTTAAAATAAAGGACTGCCCTTTAAAATAAAGGACGGATAGTCACCGTAGGTATAGGCGAAAATAAAAGGCATTTGATGGTACTGCATATTATATAACAGCATATTATTCGCCCCATCATGGTTGACGACGTCGATGTAATTTTTGTATCAAAAAATAGCGTGGGTTGGAGAAATATTAAATACCCAGAACAGAAATTCGCCAGAACTTATTTACTTATGAAATATTTAACTAACTACAAAAGCTAAAATGCACAAAAAATGCACTGACAGAAATGGATTTAAAAATATATATATATTTTTTAATTATGGGCGGGCAGTAATCGATAAAAAATTAAAGTTGGGTCAAGAGAATTCCGTTAGATGTTCAATATTCCTTGCTCTATTTATAAAAGTGAGGTACCATTTGGAAGGTAATGAATCAAGCTTTCTCTATTCAGAAGCTAAATCACAAAAGTATGTCTCGGTCGAGATCAAATGCAAATGAATTAATCGAAGAAAATGCAATTGCTAGTAGGCCTGAAAAAATAAAATTTCATCAAAACTAGCACTTTCCAGCAGCTAAGGTTATGTTGTTTAAAGTCCTAAGAGTAGTGGAAAATATACTGAGATACAAACTATCCTTACTAATATTATAAATCCGAAAAAGAGTTTGATTGTTTGCTACGCTTTCACGCTTTAAAACCTAAATTTCAGTGGTGAGAAAGAACGCGTATTGTTCTACCAACGACCCATAAACAATTTTTTGGAAGGATTAATAAGTGAGCAGGAGTGTAGAGCAGGTCGCCTCCGCGTGATGCACCCTGGGTTACGCCAAAGGGCCTGCGGCTGATTGCAAGCTATCTTTAATATGAGGTACATTTTAGGAACGTCCGAACTGCAACTTTTAGGTTCCCCAAACTAACTACATGCTATCTATGCATGATTTTAAATTAAAAAAATTATCATTATATAAGGTTGCTTCCTTAGCCTTTTTTGCACTAATGCTTTATAATTTTTGAAAATCGAAACATGGTTTAAACTATTCCAAAATACGAAATCATGGTACAGAGCCCTAGAAAACTGCCAATTTCTGGTCACTCTTACAAGACATGTGGCACGTTTTTCAACATTGTTCATTTATTAATATCCTGCCCTACCTTGTGGTGCTAATGAAAGGTTGAAAGGTCGCTGTACAAATTTTCTTGTTACTATTTAACAACAAAATTCTTTCGGTTTTGCCCTTAGTTCTTCGCAATTTGGGCAAAAATTCGCACACCATAAGTGGATAAAGAAATTATACCTTTATTTATACCAAGCACACAAAGCTTTCGTAAATATATATGTATGTATGTATGTGTGTAAAGTTTTGCATCACCAAAAAGCACAAAAGCGTTAGTATTACAGCAAAGCTTTAAAGCTAAAACACTTTCGAAATGGTTCGTGCACGAATATAATCCAAACAAGTACATAAAATAGTTTTCAATGTCAAAAGCATTAGAAAGAGGAAGTAAAATGTGTAGGGAAAGAGCTACATACACAAAAGCATACACACAAGCTTTCCGCTGCTATACGACATGATTAACGCAAAAGCTAACATATGGAAAAACGGTACAGCTAAAAGTTTCCACTCTTCAAGCACACCGACAACTCCGCTTCTCCTTACATTCCCCGCCCGTCGCACGCATATCCGTCTCTTTAATCAACGTCTCCTCCGTTTGACAATACTCCCGATTTGGCTTCACACAATTATTGGCGCGATCGTACAGCCCCAGGAAGGTCTTACAGTTGGAGCAATGAAGGTACTCCTTGTTGTCATTGGGCAGTAGAAAGGGCAGGAAGCAGAACGGCCAACAGCCGAGTATGCAAACGGCGCAGCAGGAATTGTTGGAGCTGCGTTCGGTTTGTGTGCGTATCAGCGGCCGACGATTGGCACCGCATTTTGGACAGTAGATAGTACCGGTGGCGGGCCGCCACTTTTCGATCGAAGTGCGGTAGAGGCTGCGTTTGGGTTTCTCATTGTAATTAAAATGCGACGAAGGCGTGTGCACTTGGTAGCGGCGCGTATGGACAGTGCTTCCGTCGTTGCTGCGGTCATCACGTAGATCACAGTTGGGCATTTCCATTTTGTCTCGGCTGTCAACTGGCATTTTAAAGATACCTTTAGTTGATTATGTTGAAATGAGAGCGAACGCTAAAGATGCGGTCAAACGGTCGATTAACTTACCACGTTGTGAGCGTATGTGCATATGTTCGCGTGATGAAGTGGAGCGGGGCTGAAAGCGCTCAAACTCCTCGGACTGGCTGCCAGCGGTGCGTTCCAACATTGTCGGCTGGAATGTGGCGGCATTGTCATCGATCGTTTCGTGTGGCACAACTATGTTGTTAGCTGCTTCACGCATGGCCGTGTTGCCGTTGCGTGGCATGCCGTTGCTGCCGTTATTAACGACTTCAAGTTCGGGATGATCGGTGCGAATATGTTCGAGTAGAGCGTTGGTGTCGTAGCGAGAGCAGTCTAGAATTTTGTTGCATTTTAAACAACGCACGTAATGCGTCTTAGCGGGTTCTGGTGAGTCCATGGTCCATTTTAAATGACTAATTTACAATGATTTTTTTATTTTCCTTTTTTACCAGAAAAAATTGGGATCCAAATCTTTTGCAATTACAACTTTAAGCAAGGTATTGAAAAATTTCGTTTTATGCAGCACTAAAACACACAAATTTACGTGCAAGCCATTAAAAAATTTTGTTGTATTAAATTTGGTATTGCCAAATTATTAACACGATTTGGTTTTGGTTCGATGAATTTATTTAAATAAATAAGTTCTGCGGAATTTTAGCACTTTTTTTAAAAGTAAAATTTAAAATGGATTCATTATTTTTAAGTGATTTGCAACAGCAGAAATGATGTTAAATTGAATCGTAAAAGTATTTTGCAACAGAATTTTTCTTTCAACTATTTCTATTTGTAATTTTTGATATGTAATACAAATTTTTAAATGACAAGTCTCCAAAATAATGTCATACATACAT